GCCAGCCCATGTTACAAGAGGTAGTTTGCCCTTCTCTGCCCATCTCAGGGCATGCTAGGGGCCTGATCCTGACTGTGCCGTGGGGATCTGGGTCTCTCACTGAGTTCAGGCATGCAGCACCCAGCCAGAGGCGCTCCAGGACCCCACTCAGTGAAAGCCTCCAGCAGCCTCCCCATCAGGGAGGTAGAGAAGCGTTACCACTAAGATGCAGCTAGGTCTGGGGTGGAGCACAGTAGCTAGAGCCACACCATGGGACATTTTAGGCAGGAGCAGATGCATAGGATGCCAGCAGCAAGCAAAAACACAACAGCCAGCACTGGACTCTGGCCACAGCACTGGGTGAACGCCAGGCCCCCGCACAGCAGTGGGGTATGGCTCCTCGGGACCCAATCCCAGGGCCAGGGGAGCTGGAAGCAAGGTGAGCACCTGGCACCTTGGATCAAGTCCTTCTCTGCGTCTCGGCCAGCAGGCAGCTTTCAATGTCCCAGCCCTGTGACAGCCTGCCAGGGGGCCACAGGGGCAGGCTGGGGAGATGGCAGATGGGACATAACAACGACACAGCAGGCCCTGGAGCATAGCAGACAAGGCAATGGCCATCAGAGCCCAGGTGCTTGGAAGCAGTCATGTGCATCTACCGTACAACGCTGGTGCCACGTACTATGCATTTGCTGCGGTGCCTGTGACCACATTAACTCTCCCAGGCCTTGGGCCAGCGCAGGTCCAGAACCAATAAGCAGCTAAACCAATGAAAAACCTCCCCTTGCTTTCAACAGCCTCTGGTCAGGGCCCAAAAGACCAAAAGCAGAGCGGGGCTGGATGGTGTGGCTGGCTCGGGGCCGAAGAGGAGCATTAGGCCTCACGAAGCGGAGTGTCAGGCATGTGCTAGGCCATTTACCTCGCTGACGAGCCAAACATTGTGCTGCAAAGCCCTGCTGTTTTCCTAACCAAGCGCAGCTATTTTGGGCAGGATAAACCCATTAGAAAAGCTATTAGACAGGGTTTAATTTAAAGTTGCATGAAGCTTAAATACCTTCATTGTGCAGCGTCCTACAGATGTCACCTGAATATTTGATCACCAGCTAGGATACAGTTCTGCAGGCTCAGAGCACACGTCCTCCCCCCGCCGGATAAATAGGCCATTCAGCCCACGCCGGAGATGGAATTTGGGCATGAAATTAATTGCAACAGATTGCATCAAAGCCCTGCGCCCAGTGATAGCGTCCTACCTGACATGAGAGATCAGCAGAGCGGCTCCCTTCTCCCCAGCGCAGTGGCTGGCAGCCAGCCCGGTCCCAGGGAAAAGCACAGCTCATCCACGCAGCCTGGTTAAGCAGAACACAGGTGCTAAGACAGAGCAGAAATCCACCCTGGTCTGTGGACACATCACATACCCTACGTCTGGTGTGTATCAGAGCGACTGGGCTTAGTCACAGCCAAAGGGGGTGGAGGGGGTGGGGAGCTATTTGCTGCACCCAAGAGAAAAAGGTCTTGGGGCCAAATGTGGCTGTGGTGTAAGTGGGGGAACCTCCTTCTTTTCCTTTCAGCTGCACTGGAACTGCATGCAGCCGTCTCACACCGGAGCAGAGCTCATCTCCTTACTGCTTGGTCCTTGCCAAGCCAATGGTTTCAGAGTTGTTAGGGGCTGGAAGGGACCTTGCAGATCATCGGGTCCAGCCCCCCTGCACTTGGGCAGGAAGACTGTGGGGGTCACAGGGGCACACGGGAGAAAAGGAGCCCGGCCTTCTGGTGTGAAATGAGGCCTCTGCCGGGTTCGATGGCAAGGCAGAGGCAATTTCTCGCCATCACGGGAACTGGAATCTATTCACAGGAGACGGACGCCAGCTGCCAGGTATTTCGGGGATGCATTAAGTCTCGTCAGGCCCTTACCCCGGATGCAGGGTGTGCAGCTCCCCCATGGATTCTGCACTGGAGGTCACGGTCCTACAGGCCACTGGCAAACATGGGGCAGCTCTGATAGAAAGGAGGGGAGAGAGACACTTCACAAGCACTGTCATGTGGGTCCCAAGGCAGCCTAGGATGAAGGGGCTGGACCCGATGGTCTGTAAGGTCCCTTCCAGCCCCTAAAACTGTGAAGCTCTGAAACTATGAAGACCAAACCTGTCAGTTCCCCAAGGGATTTTTCCAGCACATCCAACATGAGTCAGCTTCGTAGCTATGCCACCCGAGTACAAACCACAGCCTGGATCAAAAAAGAGCAATGTGGGAGCAATGAACAGTCCTAGAGGAACACAGAGCGAGCCGGTCTCTTTAGGGAGAGGTGGATGATAAAGGGTGTGCCAGGTGCCACCTCCTTCTTTCCCAAATCTTAAAAGAAAGTTAAGATCCTTCCCTTCATGTCACAGCAGATTCGACATCCTTCCCTTGAACACTAGTACTCTTTCCTCCCATGCCAGGGGGTTGGACTCGATGATCTGCTCAGGTCCCTTCCGACCCTAGAAACTATGAAATTATGAAACCAGTGGGGTGTTTCCCCTTTAAAGGGACTCTCACATGGATCTTACCTGTAGGAGACTATCCCCTCCATCCCCAGCCTGTGCTGTGCTGGTAGTGACCACCGGTAGACCTCAGGTCACCATAACCCAGTGCTTCTCAACCATTTTAGATGCAAGGTCCCCCTCGTTAGACTCAAGGGCCCCCTTGGAAAATGCCAGTTTTTAGTGTTCATGCATTTTTTGACTACAGAAAAATAACAGAGCAGCTCTTCTGTTGCAAAGGACTCAGAAAGCCTGCAGCAGGGCAGAGTGGTTTTAACACCAGGCTGCTTTGCAATCTCTGGGTTTATCTTGTGAATCACGGGGGGAGCCCTAGCAGCAATAACACTGCAGGCCATCCTTGAAAGGATCCCAAGGCATTCCAGGGTGGCCATGGTTGAGAATCACCGACAGTGAGAGCAGCTGCCCCGGATGCAGGTGCTTATGGAGAGCTGGGGGGTCACATGCAGGTGCCCGCTGCAAGGGGGCACCTCAACCTCATGCTTGACTAGGATGTGAGGTCCTGGCCAGCAGAAGGGCCTCATTACACGGTAGTTTTGGGCAACTCCTGGAGCTCTTCATCCCTGGATGGTCTGCACATTAACACCTTGAAGTGGTTTTAAGCGCTTGTTAGGCGGCTCAAAGTTACACCACTCCAGGGGAGGATTATCTCTGAGTCGCACTACCCCAGCTCTGTGGGGCCACTCCCCAGATGAAGTCCTCCAGTATCCCAGGATCTCTCACACCCCCGCTCACAGAGCAGAGATAAAGGCCTGTCCTGGCTCACCAGCCCTCCAGTGGCAACTCACAGCTACAACTCCTAGTCCTGCCTCTGTTCCCCAGGCCTCCAGCAGCAAGTCACAGCTGTGCAGGTGGAGGGGACAGTGAGAGAAGGTTTCTAGATTAAGGATGTGACTGCTCCCAACTCCAAGCTAGCACTAACACGGATCAGCATTTGTCCAGCTCAGTGCAAGGTCCCTAGAAACAGCCAGGAGCAGAGCGTGGCTGTGCTCTAAGCACAGCTCTGCAATCAGATGCAACCCTGTTCCAGCACCAGCACCGCCACCTGGCCTGCAGTCAGCTGCTCCGGTGGGCAAAGGAGTGGAGGGCTATTTTCCCTCTGCTGGGGCATTAAGCAGGGCTCCCTGCATGGAGAAGCTTTAAGGCAGGGCAGGGACACCAGAGTGGTAGCCACTGCACTGCGGCCAGCTGCTTCGGACAAGGCCCTTCCCCAGCCTGTGCCTCCACTTACCCGTCTTCAAAACAGGGACGATGCCAACTCATCCCTCATCAACAGGAGGATTTGATGCTTCTGTGCAGATGACAAGCACCGCATCGTCTCCTTGCAGGGGCCAGGTTGTCAGCACGGCTCAGCTCCCCTATAAAACCCCCGTATGTTGACGGCACTTTATAAAGCATCTTCCAGGAGCCAGCAGCAGGGAGCAAGGCTTGCCATGGGACTGGACTAGCATGCTAAGCTCGTACAAGGCATCACATTTGGCTGGTTTACTGAAATCAAGGCTGCTTAAGCAATCGTGTCATTCGAAGCAACTTCCCCAGTAGCAGATCTGCCCACCCTACCAGAGCGCACTCTGGGGTGAGAGCAGATGGGTTTTTTCCCAGGGAGAAGCAGAAGTAAAGTCTGCGTTAGGGGCCTGGGGTATCTTTGTCCAGGCTTTTTAATGAAATCTGTGTGAGGGAAAGGTAATTCATCCTCCAAAAGCTTTTGAGTTCCAGAGTTAAGCAGCTGAGGGAATTGTGGGGGCTGCAACATCTGGGAGGGTGTAAAGTCCCTTTAGGAAGCCAGAAGGTGCAGCCAGGTGGAAGGGATCAGGTGGCTGGACAGATTCCCAAATGAGAGCATTAAGAAAGGGTCCAAGCTGCAAAGAGAGGCAGGCAGAAGGAGCTTGCAGAAGCTGGAAAGCCTTAAGAGCCTGAAGGGGGAAAGGCACTGGTTTATTGGGTAGCCTGAAGGGAAATGGCCCTGCTTTTTGGTATGCCTAAATTTCTTTGCTGAGGGCTTTGAATAAAGGACCTGTTTGGGACCTGGAAATCACGACCGTGGCTCACATGAGAGCCATTGGCAGGAAGCAGCGCACGGGGCCATGTCCAGAGGAGAATGGAGTTCATATCACATCCCCATCTACCCCAATTTTCCAGGAGATCACTCAATCAAGGGCATGGCTGGCCCACAAAGTAATAGCACTTTATCCTATAGGGTAGCAGGACCACCCTCCTCCCCACTGTGTGAACACAGATATAGCTGCCTCCTAGCCCTGTATTGATATAGAGGAGCTTAGAGCAGCACCAGTTATCCTGCATAGGAAGAACAAGTGTGTCACAGCTGGTACTTTGAAAGAGCAGGCCCAACCTCGGACAGCCGTGACCGCTGCAGGGACAGCCCCCCGTCCCAAGTCCCAGCACAGTGCCAGGAGACAGGGGGGGCTGTCTCTCTGCTGGGTGGCCATGCAGCACCCGACACCAAAGCACCACTACGACAGCCAGCAGTTGCAATGCACACAGTACTTTATTGTGGAGCTCTCAATATAAACCACCCACCGAAGCTGGAAACTGGTCATGATTTTGGCCTTTATACACAAAGACAGTAATGGGAAACATTATATGCTGGTAATAAAATGGAGCAAAGTATCTTTTTGGTAACTGAAGCCAAGGGGCCTGACTGAGCACTGCAAAGGGAAACCCAATTTGATGGCACCCAGACTTCCCGTAACGTCCCAAAAGAACAGGGCCCCAAGCTGGAGGCAGCAAGTATGGGGACTGGTCTGGTTAGACGCTGTATTGTAGGTAGGGGAGAGGTGTTTGAGAGGCAGGAGGAATGTCGATGAGGACAGCACCCTTCGCAGGTGGAAGGGCAGTGTGACCCGAAACACGATCTTGCCTGATTTGGGAGGAGAGAAAAAAGGATGAATGCTTGTTCTGTACAGAGCTACAGTGGGCTGCGATTTCTCACGTTTGGCCTCCCTCGTCCACCGCTCGCCCCATGGCGGCAAGCTGGTGGAACCGGGCTGAATTGATGGCAAGGAGGAAGAGTGATTGGCTCCTGGGTTTCAGACACAAATCAAGGTGGCCAACAACTGGGGTTTCACCAGGGGTTTGTGGCTGGGTTCCACCTTCCCCTGTGGCTCAAGAGGTCTCGGGCACTTCAGGTTGGGTAGGGAGCTGGGAAGGGAGTGGGTTTAGCCTTGTTATGGGAGGTCAGGTGCACCCCAGCAGAGAGCACAGCTGATCCATCCTTCCTGGCAATTCCTGTTTTCAGGTAGACAAGCGTGGAAGGAGGCTGCAAAGACCAACCTCCCATCCCCACCGCCATCAGGCTGAGCATCGTTCCGAGGCGTCACAACATGCGGGTGACAACCATGGTGAGGAAGTCTTCGTAGCTGAGACGGGCACTGCCAGACATCCCCGCATCCTTCTCTCGAAAGCTTTCAGTCAGGCTCTGGAGCTGGATGCAGACCTGGATGAAGCGATCCAGCTGGATGGTGGGGTTGGGGGCCCGCTGGGAATAGCGGGACAGCAGCAGCTGAGTGAACTGGGGGCTCAGACTGTATCCCATCTGAGACAGAGCTGGGAGCAAGAGAACAGAGAAAATGAACTCCAACACATCTCTCCAGGAAGAGTATTTCCACCCCCATCTCTTCACCATGCTGAGACACTCCTCCTAATGAACACACCTTGACTGAAGCTGCAATGTTATTTAACCTGATTGCAACCCAGGGCTGAGCTGGGTGCTAGGAACATAATGTGGGCACACCCTTCTGGTGCTTCCCTGCCCTTCCAACACAAAAGGCTTACTCAGACCATGGCCACACCTCCTGCTCTCCAAGCCCTGGGAAGAGAGTTAGCCACAGGGTGACCAAGTCTGCTACAACTGGTAGAGATTCAAGGGAAACCTGATTCAACTGAAGCTTCCCATTCTGCTCCACTGCAGAATGGGAGAGGTGTCATTATTTAAAAGGGGAGGCAACAAACCACTGTGGATTTACTGATTGCTCCACATTTGACCTGGATGAGCCTGGGCACAAGTCAGCTATGTAAATGGGGCAAACAAGTCCTTCAGCAGAATTGGTTTAAGGGAATGGCTACCACGGTGTGGCCAAGGTGACTAGCTGTGGTACAGCCAAGGCTGTCTCCTCACTCCCTGAGGCCTGTGCTCCCTCTGGTCTCACCTTGTTGCAGCTCGTTGAAGTTGATGGAGCCCGAGTGGTCCCTGTCATACTGCTGGAACAGGTTCTTCCACTGCTGGATGAAGCGCCACAGTGCCGAGAACCCAACGAGGTCGATGCGGCCTGACTTGGTTTTATCAAACATGTCTGCCAAGGAACAAGACAGCCAGAGCAGGGCAGTGAGCACTGATCCAGGGACAGCACCGTGCACACACCCATAATGCTTGCTGTCAGAAGTTCCCCATGCATTTCATAAGACATCATAAAGACATAATAAAGACAGCACAGGAAGCTCAAAATGCAGTGGAAACCTGATGTCCCAACTCCCAACCCCTGTCCTCTTAACCATGAAACTGCTGCCTCTGAAACTCTGACACTTATGTGTTGTAGGCCACTCTACGTGCAGGAATTAAATGCAGTGCACCCAAATGCCAGGGAGATAGATCTGCTGGGTTAGCAACTACCCTCAGTCTCTGTGTACGTTCAGACCTGTACGCTGAATGAATCAACAGCACTACACAAGGCATGTGTGCAAGTTCCCTTTCCAGAGAAGTACAAAGCCCTGCCCAGAAAGCCTCTGATCAAGCATCCTGCTCCCTCCCCTTGATCTTTCATTCACTACCCATTGCTCTATCAGTATTGGTCATGGCCTGCTCAGCCCATGAGGGAAAGCACATAGACACTATACAGTTGATTTGGGGTTCCCCTTATGAGGTGCAAACACACACATTTTAGGTCAGAAACACAACCAGCTCTTTGTTTTCTCCACATCAAACACCAGCCCAGCCCAGCTCAGCACAGAAGAGAGTCTGGAGAGGAAGTCGCCTCTCAGGAGAAAACACCTGAACTCACTTATCATCATCAGGCAGGTCTCATCATTGAATGCAGACCAGTTGGAGTTGACCAGGGCCTGCTTGAGTTCTTTGATGGAGATGTAACCACTGCGATCAGCATCCACGGTCTGAAACCAGGAGAAGGCTTCTGGGTCCACACCAGGTGGGATGTTACCTGTCAGGGAGGGAACATATAAAGGGTCATGTAATCCCTTAGAAATCTTGGCACAGCAGCATTGGGCAGGACATCACTAACCCAGCTCGCTACCAAAAGTGGAAGCCAACTCGAGCACCTTGGGAAAAAGCCTCTGGCAGCTAGTAACTAGGGATGGAGACGCTGAGCCAGCATTTCCATTCTAAATGGCTGATTACAGCCCTGGTATCCATCCTGCGAGCAGGTTAACAGTGGCTGAGGCCTCAGCATGCAAGGCCTCCTGAGAAACAGAGCGAGCTTAAATGAGATCTCTTCAGATCATCTGCAAACAAACGCAAGCGGTGCCACTGCAGCAGGATAAATGCCGGCAGTTGAGGGGAGACAGATGTGAGGCCGTAAAGTTTAATTTCGGCTGCTTTGAGCTGCAGCCTCTTCAGCACTTTCTTCCACGGTGGAACTTTAACATAACAAACGGGGACTCTTTCCGAACTGGCAGCTTAATTGGCATGAATAATTCAGTTAAACGCTACAGCTCCCGTCCTGTTGGGCAGGGGATAGCGCTCACATGCCTCTCAGAAGTGCTTCCAGCGTCTTCCAGTGACAGCGGCACTTGCATTAGCCTGTCTGGTTGAACGCCTTGAGCCAATCAAAAGCATAAGCCCCAGGACTTTAGACTTCCTTTTTTTTAAAAACCAGTAGGGAAAGCAAGACAGAGGCAAGACGCTAATCCCCAGGGCACAGAGGAGGCTGAGTGGGGAATTCTTGGTTTTTTATCACATGCCTCCCACCTAAATGAAAGTGCCTGTCAGGGTGGAGGATCAACCTGTGGCTTTGCAAAATGGAGGCAAGGGTTTGCTTAGAGCCGATACAGCCCGACCTCTGGCACTAGGAAGCCCCAGCACTGACGCCGGCCTGGAAAGGGACTGCCCAGCTCCACAAGGAAGCAAGAGCCCAAGGCAAAACTCAGGAACAGTGCTGGGGCCGGGGCTCCTCTCCCTCTGTCCCCCACAGGCCCACCACCTTCCTCCATCACTAGGGGCATGACCAAGCCATGCTTGTGGGAGTGAGATACTCGGGCAGCCCGACGGAGGGGTCACGCTCCTCTTACGCAGACACACGCTTGTGTACTCACCCCCCGGAGCCCCTGCTCCGTACGGTCCTGGCTGAGGGGCATCATAGGGGTTGGTAGATGGTTGTCCATAGGGCCCGCCAGGTGCTGAACCTCCTCCATGAAGCGTCCCAGGAGCCCCAGACGGGGGCCCCCCAGGGGTGGGATGCCCATAAGCCCCTCCACCAGTTGGCGGTCCATAGGGCCCGCCAGGTGCCGGACCGCCATAGGAGCCACCGGGAGGCAGCCCGCCTCCGTACTGACCTCCAGCATAGTAACTGCCCTGTGGGGCACCTGGGGCTTGCCCCGCTGATCCAGGGTAACCCTGTGGAGGAAGGGGGACGAAGGACAGCTGAGCCTAGAGAGCACCATGCCATCTTCCACCGGCATCCAGTACCTCCCAAGCTCCCCATAGCAACCAGACTCCCCATGACACCCTGCTGTCACGGCTACACAAAGCCAGCGCACGCCTCCTGGACCGGTACCGGGGTTAACCAAAACCACCCTAGGAAACCTCCCGCCCACCCGGCCTCAGTTTACCTAGGAGGGACGCTGATGGAACAAAACCCATTGCATGGATCAGGCGGGGAGAGCCGCCTGTCTGGGAGCGAGATCCAGCCCTCATTTTCTACGAATCGGAGGACTTTCTCCCCTCCTGACGGACCCCCTAAAAACCCCGCCCCGCTGCATCAAGATATGTGGTGCACGTGCGCCAGACCCGAAGGCAATTAAGAGCCTCCCACTGAAACCGTGGGCAGGGTTCCCAAATCCCTTAAGATACCACGAAGCCACGGCTGTGACGGGCAGCGCCCCGACCTCCGCGGAGACCGAACCCACGGACCAGGCGCCGCAAGGGCGGGGCGCACTCGTCGCCTGCCACCTTTCCCCCACGGGACCCGCAGCTGTGCCCCCTCCCAGGGAGGAGACTCCGGCCAGCCGTGCCCCACTCGGGGACGTCCGCGAGGCTTCAGCATCAGCCGCCCAAGGCCGAGACGGCCGGTCACCTCCCTGAACCCTCGCCCCCAACGCCTGTGCCCGCGCTGGGCACCGTCCGCCACGGAGGGGGCTGCCTGCCCGCGCTCCTGCCCTGGCAAGGAGCAGCTTCCGGGGGGGCGGCCGCCCAGAGTGCCCGCGGGCGCTGGGGTGACGTGCGCAGACCCCCGACAACAGCCTGCGGGGCTGCAGCAGGATGCCCCCGGCACCCCGCCCCCAGG